TTAATATGAAATTTCCCCCGCATTTCCATAATAAATTGATTGACATTTCTCTGATTCATAGACGGATCATCAATTAAAACTCAAAATTTGCCACCTCCTTTAATACCCTTTGTGTCACTTTGATGGCTTTTGCTGTCTGTCATCTACTCTATAGATGGGTTACTGCTGCAGCTGGGTCAAATCTTATAGTAAAAGACCTATAAATTTTACTATTAGGCGCAACATTTGTGAAAATTCTGGAAAGATTGTCTCCAATTGTGTAGGCCAAATGATTTCGATTATCAATTATGAAAATTAATCGATTAGCATCCCTAAATGAAGACTTGAACTTAAAAATGTATTGTTAGTTATGCAATGATTATTCAACAATGTTCATGTATTGAAGCATCAATATTTTTGGCGAGTTTGTTAAGCGAGACATAGGATAATGAATGCTAAAAATTCCAAAGAATTGAACGATATTTGGTAAATTAGTGAGAAATCAACTCACTGATCTTTATATTGAACTTTTAAATGGAACAAAATTAACTTCATTGCCTAATATTAAAAGCAATTAAAAAAATAAAACTTCTGATTTTCAGCTTTCTTTTGATGTATTTTCATTCTCATTATTGAGAAACAAATAAAGAAAAATTTCCGGTTATTTTTGTTACACACTGTATTTGTATTTATTTATTGATTGTATCATTTATCTCATAAAAGAACATTAACACAAAACTACAAAGAACCCAGAAAAAAGGGAAAATTAGCAGAGAAATAATTTGCTGTCTAATATAATGAATATACACTCACCTGCCAAAAGTATCCGGACAAGATGTAGATCATGTAAATTTCCGCGACATTTCTGCGTGTTTTACACAAAAATACTCGAAAACTAGTGAGAAAACATGGCTTTTTGTCCTAAGTAACTGCATTTCAAATGTTCGAAATTGCATATTTTCATTAATATTTATAATCTAATAAAATATAGTTTTTGGGTGATATGTAAATTCTTAAAATCGTTTAAAAATATTGGTTCCCAAGACTTTTTTTTGTCCCATAAAATATCCCACATAATAATAAAAAGTCTGAAAACTTCATAAAAGAATTTAAAGCATAACGAACAAAATAAAAAAAGGATGATTAAAATTCGTTAGAAATTGATAGAGTTGTATGTATTGAGAAAATTTTCAAAAATTTTTCGAAAATCACAAAATTCAAAAAATTATTGTTTTGAATTTTTTGAATTTATTAAAATGACAAAAACAAGAGAACTTACAGATTTTGAGCGTGGTGCTATCTATGGGTAAAAGGCATACGATAAGAGAAATAGCTGAAGCTTTAGAAATTCCAAAATCTACTATTTCTGACAATATTACTAGGTATAAAAATTCGTCCTTTACTACTAAACCACGTACTGGAAGGCCCCAGATTTTGGATGAACGTGACAAGAGAGAAATTGTAAAAATTGTAAAAAAAAAAAGAAAATTAGCTGTCGAAGAAATTAAAGATGAATTCAATATCACCAAACCTATAGAAGTAAGTACTAGAACTGTACAGCATGCTTTGCACTCAAAGGGCTATTATGGAAGAGTTGCAAAAAAAACCCCCTTTGTTAGTGAACAAAATCGCAAAAAATGATTTGGATGGGCTAATACGAGGATAAAATGGGTCAATGAATGGAATTATGTGATTTTTAGTGATGAGTCAAGATATGAAATATTTAATAATGATTCAAAAAATTGGGTTTGGCAGAGATCTGATGAAAAGTACAAAAAAGAATGTTTAAGACCAACTGTCCAAAAATCAAAGGGAGTTATGGTTTGGGGTTGTTTTTGCAAAGACAGAATAGGTCCTCTCGTATTAGTTGACGGAAGTGTCAACTCTAAAACTTATATTGAAATACTTAGAGAAAATTTGATACCATTTTTAATTCAGCTTGGGCCAAGTAATTATATCTTTCAGGATGATAATGCTTCTGCACATAGATCTCAAGTTGTCAATCGATGGAAGGAAGAAAATATGATAGTGACACTACCTTGGCCAGCCCAAAGCCCTGACCTTAATCCAATTGAAAATATATGGGCAGAATTGGAAAGAAAAATACGAAATTATAAAGTTAAACCAAAGAATCAAAGTGAATTATTTGACGCACTTAAAACAGAGTGGTATAATTTAGATATAAATTATATAAATAGATTAATATATAGTTTGCCTAGTAGAATTTATCAAGTGAAGATGAATAAAGGGAACCCTACTAAATATTAATAAAATTACATTTTGGATTTTTGAATTTTATGATTTTCGAAAAATTTTTGAAAATTTTCTCAATACATACAACTCTATCAATTTCTAACGAATTTTAATCATCCTTTTTTTATTTTGTTCGTTATGCTTTAAATTCTTTTATGAAGTTTTCAGACTTTTTATTATTATGTGGGATATTTTATGGGACAAAAAAAAGTCTTGGGAACCAATATTTTTAAACGATTTTAAGAATTTACATATCACCCAAAAACTATATTTTATTAGATTATAAATATTAATGAAAATATGCAATTTCGAACATTTGAAATGCAGTTACTTAGGACAAAAAGCCATGTTTTCTCACTAGTTTTCGAGTATTTTTGTGTAAAACACGCGGAAATTTACATGATCTACATCTTGTCCGGATACTTTTGGCAGGTGAGTGTATAAGAATGACTTCTTAATTCAGACTATGTCAGAATATGAATTTAATTCCTATATTTGGACGCCATTATTGAGGAATGCGTTTCTTGATAAGAAAGACCTTAAACTAAACTATGGGGAACTGGCATCAAGATCGTACGAAAAACTAAAAGAACTTTTGGATATCGGTGGCCGTAGTGCACCAAAACTGGATGGAAAAGGCTTTCTCAAGTCTTTGGGAACCGAAATTCTAGCACAAGAGGATGGCGTTCTAAACACGCGAGGTAAAAGAAAAGGTGATCTACAAAAACTAGAATACTGTTCGAAAGTCATCCTCACAACGCTCTTTTTTGCATTACCCTCTGCTGCAAAAGCAAGTATCAAAAATATTGAGACTTATAGTCTCCAATCAAATGGGTTCCGTCTTACAATCTCTGTATCAAAGTATCTCTTTGAAGATACTATTATTACAATGGATTTACAAGATGTTGAAGTCCCAAGGACTGTAGAAGGATTTTCAAATCTAATAGTGGCTGTAAAGGTGATTTTATCTTGGAAGGCGCGTACTAGAAATAATACAATAACATTCTATAATGCATTAAAGAAGGGCAATAAACGTTTATCAAATGGGGCTCGTTTTTCACCAAAAAGAGTACCTCTACATCCTCTACATAATATGTGATACTAAATCACATTCCATTTTTTTCAATACTTATTAAAATCATATCTTAATAATAAAGTTCATGTCTTATATAATTAAGACTTTGTAGTGTGTATATATTTACTGATATATCATATTCAACTTATAGACAATTCTCTTTTCTTAACTTATAATCATACTGTGGAAAAATAAGTATCTTGAAAGAATATATTGATGATTTTTTCACCATCTCGCAGAAGTGATCGGCATGAAAAATCAGAGTTAACTTTTTTTCTAGATATGCCTTCTCAGAGTAAGATAATATTATATTATTTACTGCTCTCTGGACATAAGCGAAGTGAGTGGACAGATAAGCTAACTCATGATGAAACCGATTATGTAATTGCTGAAATTTTAAAGCAGAGATAATGTACTGCACTGTGTCATTGTGTTGAGTTGTCAGCTATTACTATCAGGATTTAATAAGCCAATTAAATCATAAAAAGTTTCGCAGCATCAGAGCTGACCAAATTTTTAGGCTGCACCTGTTCTCCACAAATACATATAAATATCTAATCCTACATGATTTCTTTTTCTTACCATTGCAGCCTGCCTGCCCCATAGAAAATAAATGTATGGAAAATGTAAGAATTTACTTATTATTATAATAATATTTGACACGGGATATAAGTATTTATATTTAATTTAAGTTTTGAAATTGTCATTGTAACAAATTTTATGTGAATGTACAGAAAATGTACTGTATTTGGTAAAAAACTATAAAACATACGTTTTAACAGTGTTGGCAATTGGACTTATTGGACCAGTCCAGTAAATCAATTCCAATTCTAAGGGGCAGCCAATCATATTTCAGCATTTAATATTTTATAATTCTTGATAAAAAGAAGGATCATTCAAAGATTTCTTCTATTCCCATTTTCCTTTCTGTCTATTAATAGCTGGGTGTCTAGTCTATAACAATTCAACATGATATAATTATTTTGCGAAACATGTAACATTTAATTTAATAATGTAGCACATGATTATTTTATTTGTAACATTCATTTATTTCGCGTTGTTTTATTTATCTTATTAATATATCTATGTCCTATATCATCTGGATAGATTGATAAGTTTACTAAGTTTATATTATATTTATATTATATTTATATTATCAATCTTATGTATTTCTTATAAAAAGGACATCAATTTAAGTTAATTAAGATAACTTGTAATTTTACAATAATTAAATTACTTAATTTGTTTAAATAAATCATTTAAACATTTGAATGCTTACATCACTATTTAAAAATACAGTAGTTTAGAGGTTACAAAATATTGTCATCTTCATTCTAGTAAAGATGATATTGGAAAAGTTTATGTTGCTAAAAATTCTGGTGGCTTGAAAACTTCTTTGAACTTCTAAGTATGATAAAGATGGTAATTAAATATTTAATTATCTAAAGACAATAAAAAAGAAAGACAATATTTTATTTTTTTATTTAAATTATAATGAAAAGGTATCTAGCCTATAATCCTCCATTTCTTTTTATTAAGCAAACAGGGTCTAATATTTTACCAATTATAATCTTTATATCATAGATTAATATTCTGCAAAAAAACAAATTTAGTCAGGTGACCTCAAAGACCCTTTTTGCTACAAATGGTATCATTGAGATATGCAATTTTGCACATTTGCAAATAATACATTGTTAAGAAGTATAAATTTTTGTAAATTTTATTTTATTTTAATTATTTGAAAAACTTCTAGTTCATCAAATCTATTACTACTTACCATATTGATGTTATTATAAACCCTTGATGTATAATAAATAATACCATCTATATGAAAAAGAAGATCACTTACACCAAAAATAGATAAAAAAGAATCACCACAATGAATTGCTTGCAGATAATTTTAACATAGCTATTAGCTAATTAATCAGTATTAATATCATTTCTATATATGCAGCCCAAAGTATTTTGACACTGTCATAAAGGGGGTTACACATGTAGTAAAGGGGTGTTACACTTATGTTTTAATAGTGAATGCCGTAATTAATTTCTACTTTCTACCATCGAAATTGGAATAATTTTGACCATCAAAATCACCAAACCAATTTGGGCTGCATGTATAATCAAATATCTTATTATTTTTTTATTTATAAAAAAAAAAACAAATTTTATATGCTAAATTATTTATCTTATTCATTCTGTAAACTTTGTACAAATGCTTGCTCAAAATCCACCTTCATCGAATTCATTATCTTCATTATTGCTGTCTGTGTCATTATCATCATTATCATCATTTTTTTTTCACTATTGGAATCCTTAAATTTGGGGTGGGGCGTTTGGATACAAGGTTCTGATTGGCTAATTTGAATTTCACGCACAACGTCTTCTTGCCAAATTCAGGATTGTCTAACAATAATTGTTCAATATTAGGATCATCAAGTTCAAGTTCCCAGCTTTAGCTACTAAAACAAGCTTCTTGAAAAACACCCAATAAAATCTAGTTCCTATAACAATCTTAGAAGTAATTCACAAAAAAATCACAAACTTTATATTCTTCTATAATAAAAATTTGGAAAAAAATTTTTAATTCCTTTATTGTTACAGTGAAGTTACATTGTATCAATGTATATACAATTTATCAGCTAATCTCAAATAAAAATTTGTACTATTAAAAAATTGGCACCATTCTCAAATTTACTAATATTCATTATACATTAATGTTAATAGTTAATATTAATTTAGACTTTCAATATTTCAACATTATGGCAAATCGAGTGACCTTGTCAAATATTTCAACAGTCAAAATGCCTAAATGTTTGTCAAACTATAACTTTCAACTAACAACTCTACTTCTGAATGACTAAGTTCTTTACTACCTAATCTATATATGATTTGCAAATCAATCTTTCTAGCTGATGCTACTTTAGAGACAGTCTCACCCCTAAAATATTAATACAAGCAAATCATCAGATCCACAATTGACAACTGTTTCAGAGTAAAAAGGAATACACACCATTTGAGCTGAATGTGATCTTGTATATCAGAAAAAATTAAATCATCAAGATTATTAGTCGTGTTTGTTAAACTCAAGCTAGTTGAGGTGATTGATTTTATTAATATGTATATTTACTTTTTTGATTTCCTTTAAATTTAAAATAATAAATGAATTAGTACATTGTAATTATTACTATTAGTTTTTTATCCCCTAAACGGTCAAAGTATTCTTTAGTAGTAACACAAATAATTTTTTGATCACGATCTTGCATTCTTATTGGCCAATTTAACGATCTGCAAAGTAAAAATAGTCAATCGACCAACTT